CGGTACAAGAAACACGTGCGTCGGGAGTTTAGCCACTTATGAATATTGTTACGCTCGCTTGAGTTTTCAGCTGTTTTTGCTAAGCAGCGGAATGCGAATGTCGAAGCTAACTTTCAGTTATGTGATTACCTCTCAAGTTCATTAAGTGGTTTTCATATAATTGTTTTCTGTGCAGTGTACGAATTGTCAAATGCAAAGCTTTTAATTTAATATGAAGGCATTACCAGATAAACATATCTGCCAGATACTTTCAATCGATTTCGTGGTAAAGGAAAAATTCACTTTTCCACACATCATCTATTTTGGTCAGCTATGTAACTCTACTTTTTGTTCTTTTTGCTATTAAGTCAAACAGCGACTGTACTTAAATATTGTTTGTGGACAAAACAATTGAGGTGAACTTACTTTTAATGTTATATTTAGCCACATGTTATCTGTGGTTTTGATTTAACAGTTTTTGTTTCTAAGAATGCAACTCAGCGTTATTTAGATTGTTAATCTCTCTCACGAGAGGAATTGATAGCAGAAGGTAGTGTTTTGCTTGACAGTGAACGTGGCTTTTGTTTCGTTGTTTTACGCGGTGCTTTTTTGGGAAGGAAGAAAAAAGGATGGACGAGCTTGCGTACTTAAGGATGGCTTAAATACAAAAAAAGGAATAAACGAATTAATCAATTAATTGTAGAAATTGTCTGCGAATTTTAAACAAAAGTTGGCAATTGTACTTAAATATAAGTTACGCTAATATCTAAAAAAAAAAAAAAACGATTGAAGAAAAGAAATCTAATCAGTATAAAGTGCGTGTGTGCAACAAACTAAGAAAAGGACACCTTCTACACATTCTAGTCAATGTAATTTATGCGGAGATAAAACAGAATATTTATTTAAATAAAAAAGAAAATAAGAAGTAATACAAATGAAATATTTACAACGAATACGTCTTTTTAATCATGACCGCGATTCTATATCCACTGTGTTTATTGCTTTTATGTTTTATTGCTTGTATCCTGCCAGTTGGGCCACTATTCTAACTGGTTATTCTCCCAGCGTTTTTATGCTATTGTTTTGTTTGATTGTACCTATTGGCAAACTTATGTTTCAGGCGCATTACGTTTTGGAAATATTGACGTAACTGAAGCTCAATTAACGATTAGTATACATTTAATGTCGACCGTGTTTGGTCGGGAATTCTGGTTAACGAAGCTAATATTTTTGGGTGTGAAGTGCGCACTGTCTTTATATTTTGCTTTTGGTATTGATCTTTTATTAGCCGTTCCCTTTACCAAAGTGATAAACAATGAAGGATGCGTTTTTTCCCCGAGTATATTGTTGACACTGATGATATTACCGGCATTTATAATTGTCAAGGAATACCTTTGCGGAGCACAACTCTTTTGCTTTATAGCCTTTGACTTGGTGATAGCTAAAATGGAATATTTGGGTTGGTCTCGTTTTAGTCTGGGCCTATTCTTCCTTAATCAATATTTTAATTGCGTAGTGCGTAAATCGCATTTACATATTTATCATACTTTACCAGCCACGCATTGCGGTCAATCAAGGCACTGATAGGGCATCTATCAGCAGTTCTAGCGATAAAATGGGGCCACTCATCATCGAAGAGCTACTTCCGAAACGAATGGGAAACATTAACCTCAAATAGTTATGGTCTTGGGTATTTTAAAGAGAATTGTGATCTTATACAACCTTATTCTTTAAATATGTGTAACAATTTTCCCGAAACAAGTAAGTGTGGCCACATATATGTATAATATATTAAAAATGTGAATTATATTTATATAATAAATATGAATTTGTAGTGTGCGCGGTACTACAGTGATATGGGATACCACAACTGGGGCCAGTTTATATAATACTACTGGTATTTTAAGGAAAACTTAGGAATACATAACTGAATGTTTGACTGATTTATTTTTTTTTTTGTTTATTTTCGATTTAGGTTGGACTGGTAGTTGTTGTGCTTCACAGTTCAAGATATTTAAGACCGCGTTCTGGTTTGCCCTTAAGCACTTGCTTTAGTGCCTTGAAGATCAAATGGCTAATGGACAATGTAACGTCTGTACAAGATCATATAACCACACGAACATTGTGTTGCGGTAATTTAGATTCATGGTTGTTGTGGGTACGAATCATGATCTTGTTTTTGTTTTCATTTGTAATTGTGTAATATATTGCTGCGATATAAAATTTAACTGGAGCCGAATCTTGCGGTATTCATGCCACAGATGCCATCAATGCTCAAAATACTGGTTTAATGAGTATTCGCATTTTGCAATCGGATAAAAGACTACGTGAGTATATTACCACGAATACATTCTAATTCTGAAGTTTGTGTTTATGTTATTGGTGGCCCCTTAGTCGGCATTCCCATAGCTGAAAAACTCTTTTTATTTATTCCTAGAGCATCAGCCGGCGTCTCTTTTAGGCCAATTATCTGTAAAGGTTGGTCAAAATGTATGTTCGATTAACGATAGTTCGTTTGTCTCATTGAATACGGGCGGGGAATTGATTGCATCTCAGGATGGCTTAATATCTGTGATTGCATAAAAATTAGATCTCAAGCGAAACCTTGCTATGTTAAATGCTGAATACGGCCTGGCTGCCAAAAGGTCTGAGATTGCTTTTGTACCCGCTTTTCACGGCTTATATTCGCCATATCGGCGTTACGAAGCCCGTGGGTAAGCAAAGAACAAAGAATACATTTTTAAATTATAAAGAGAAAATGAAATCAGTTAAAAAAAGTTAGAAAAACTTTACCAGATTTAACAAGTTAAACGACTGCTGAGAATGTTATTCAAGTGGCATTCGAGGCTACTGGTTTTCAAATACACGGAATACTGAAGGCTTTCAAACGTGACGCTGTTAGCAACAGCTGACGTCGTTCCGAGAGGATCGCAATAAGAATATGATACGTTTAGCTTCGATTGTTATATCGCGGCTGAGTTTAACTATACGCTCGTAGCGATCATAATATCATAAATAAGTTTTTATTAAATGTGGAATTATCTCAACCGAGGTTTTTCTTCTTTTATAAAAAAGACAAACATCACAGAATTATTGCTGATACTTGACCCATAACCATTAATTCATTTTCAACGTATGGCTTGAGACATATGGAGTGGGGTAACCATCCCAAATCAATTCATTAGATCAGTATAATAAATAAGAAAATATTTTTTTTACTGTGGTCGTGCCAGTTGCCCATTTGAGGCATCTTTTAGCTCGCGCTACCATGCATTCATAGCAAACCCATATCCCATATTTTCTGTGTTGGTGATAATTTTTATCAATGGTTTTAGCAAATTTCAGATCAATAAATTTGCTTTGAATTCCATATTTTATTTTTTTCTCTGCTGTCGTAAGGATCACGGACTTAATCTTTGCCCGTACGCGATGGACTGGACTAAGTTATCTAAAAATTTCAAAAGTAGGTATCTTATATAGTGCATTTTATTGTCAAACGTCCGGACGTACCAACATACTTTCATATTTCCATGGGGAGTATAGTAATGAAAGCAAAGATTAAAACCGAAGCAATTTGTTATGCAAACGTTCAAATATGAAAGAACTTAACGAATACATTCAGAATTGAATAAATTAACTATTTATTCACTATAAATACATGTATATGCAGTTTTAATAGCGTAGTGTAAGAAACTACAAAGGTGATGATGTATGCCTATATAACTAGGCTTCAAATTGAGTTTTCGCCTCTGACCACCATAGTCATCGTAAAGCGCCTATGTAATGCTACATCTTGTTCAGAGAACCTTTGCATTGGCCCTAAAAGAATTTGCACTATGTTTTGCGTAAGCAATATTTGCATTTTCTCTTGTTGTAGGCGTAAGAATATAACCTTTTTCTGAGATCTTAACGTCCTATTACGTTCTATGACATTCTAACGCAACGAAAGCAAACTAGAGGACAGGTCTAGGGAATTTAATGGACAGACTAAAGGACAATTGACTTAATAAATACAGAGAATTCCGATCGATCACAATATTAAAATGACTGGAAACACAATTCTCGCATAATATAAATGTGCGGTGTTGAGCAGCTACAATCTTCACTTGCACATCAGTTTTTGCGGTTAAGTTATACGTGTCTATTATAATTTAATAAGTATGAATATTAAGACTCAATGACATCGCATTTTCATTAAAACATTAAAACGAAATTTTGAATAAAATTAAAATATCATCAAAATTCGAATTTAACATTAAGTTAGTTAGTTAGAGGATTCGAAACGCGATTTTCGGTTTGCAAAGATTGGAAAACGCGCTGAAGTGGTAACTGCTTGATATGCTAAAGAGTGTTGAAAATCCTCCAATAAACTTATTTCGAGATCGTCCTCAACAACTTAGCACTACCTATAAGGATTTCGACTCTCGTTCATGTAATATTCAATAGTGAGAAAGTGGCGCAAGTTCTAGAATCAGCCTTAGTAATATTGGGTATTATATAGAATGGCCACAATTCACTGCTAATAAATAAAATAAATAAAAAAAAACGCTTAAAAATGCTTTGACATTTGCTTATGGTGATTACCCGCCAATGTTTGTATTGGAATTTTTATTCGAAAATACAGTCTATTAAACTTATAATCAGATTAGATTATTCCTGAACCCTTCCAAATTTTTAATTCTACAGGATTCCTTAGAAAGGTAAGTAATTACGACAACAAGATTTAATTTTTGATATTAGACGGCGAAACTAGGTAAATGATTATATTAGACGAGGTAGTTTAAGGTATTTATGAAAGTCGGGTTAATGGAACTGTAACGTTGGCATTTCTATGTTTGAAAAGAGCGTTCTCTCTTTCATGATCAATTTCTAAACATTTAAATAAAAGCTTTGTTAATCAAACCATTAAAGAATAAAGCATTTTTATTAATATTAAGTTTTTGACTAACTTTTACAATATCGTTCGTATCAGTTGTTGCAAAAACGTTCCTTGGTGCATTATAAAGAAAAAAAAAAAAAAAAAAAAAGATAATGGGAGGTTTTAGTAAATTTTTCAATGAACACTTAACTACGCTTACTTGCCGAGATCTTCACAAAGGAATATCTTGCAAAAAGCAAGCGTTAAACATAATCATAGGTTGTCCAATAAAATCATTGAAATTTGTTACACCGCTCGCTTTCGTAAGTTCTATTTGTGTTTAAAAATAACTGTGTTAGCTGATATAACATGTACATCACGTATACGATAACAACAAACAAGTTTCATTCAATGTTTATGAAAACAAATTCACATGCCGGCCTATTATCGGAAGAAGCTTCGCAAAAGTGCAAGAAAATTATATTTGACTTTGGCCGAATCTTTCATAACCGTCATCGTTATCTTATAAAAGATTGACGAAAGGCAAAAATATAAATTTACTTACTTTATAATATTGGGTGGGCGTGGTTGCTTTTTTCTATTTTTGTAAAATAATTTTGTGGAAATCGATATCGAGGAAAAGACACTGGTATTCTCGGTTTGGTGGTATAGACGTGTAGGCATTGCAGGCCGACTTGACCGACTTGGACCATCTTCATGCCTTGTTGCAAACTTGTATCCGATATCCGAGTGAGTGACAGACAACTAGACGAACATTCTCCCGATTCTGTAACTGACCAAAAATTTATGCACTTTGAAGCTTATTTCTCCATGTTATCAAGGAATTGAAACAAAATTAAATTTTGATATACCATAATATTGAACAGGCGCGATCAAGTTTTCCCATTTTTCCATTAGATAATACAGCGCGGCCCACAGAATATACGTACAAATCTTTGCAAATTTGTAGGCAGTAGTTTATGAGTAATGAAAAAATAAACATTTTTGCATTCCTTTTGGAAAACAGAGGTGTTCTCGGTCCACGTCATGTCCTTCGAATGGGCTTGTCCCGTTTTCAATACCCACCTGCTTGCAAGAACTTGCAATGCTTCTCCCAAATTTGAAGCCGATAGCTTAATTGTTGCGACCAGGAAGGTATTTAGCATATATAGGGACAAAGAGACGGACATGTTTAATTCGGCTTAGAATTTGATGCTGATCAAGCATAAATTCGGATCTCCGAAGCTTCCTCCTGGATGACGCAAACGTGTTGATAAAAATAATGTATCGCAAATAGATATAAACAACAATATTTGTACATAGACACATTCGTTCTTCGCTCTCCATTTGGATCCTAACGAAATCTAACATTGCTTTAAATCACACATTCTTATCCTTTTTGTCATTATTTCGTCTTTGTCATCAGACTAAGTTCTTTGTTTCATTTTCGTGTTTTCTTGTGGTAAAATTGAAGTTTTTGATAATTTTTTATGTAAACACAGCTCACAGGTCAGCAAAAACTAAAATTGTAGTTAACAGGTGCGTAAGTCTGAACTGATCCCGTGTCTTATGCTCATCAAAGATTTTATATTTCAAAAGGACATCAAATGGTATCGACTACCTTGTGTCGTTACTCATATCAAGATGAGCTTTACGTTGTAGTACAATATTTGCTTATAATTTGAACAACTATCGGATCGCTAGTCTACGTATACCATATATATATGTTAGAAGTTTCTGCGCATGAATACATTATAGTAGTGCAGCAAAAGCTATAAACGAATTGAAAAAAAAACTCTCCAGAATTAAATGCAATTGAATTTTTATAATATCCATGGATTCTAATCTACATGAATATTTTTCTTTACCTGCTTTTGTTTTTCAAGTTATCACTTTTGCCTAAAATTCGTACGCTGTCTCAAACCGAGTTGCAAGAGACGTTAAGGATTATTGCCACCATATCGTTGGCTTTCTCAATAAATGGTGCTACCGCTATGTGTCTAGTATGTTTGTTAGGGTAAGTCAAAAACAAATACACCGAGAGGGCTGATCGTTTTGGACGGATGGGCGTTTTTGCAAAAACCCCCTTTTTAATATAATAAGAACGCGTAATGGAAATCATTTCTGCTTACTCTTAAAGTAACAGCAATACAATTAATCAACGAATCAGGCATTCAAAAGACTATAACGGAATCAGCGGAAGGACAGGATACACTAGACGCAATTTTCGATTATCTCAATTCAACAGAGAATTTCAATTAAATTGAATTCGATGTTGACTCGGAGCTCTATTTTTGTGTGGACGCTACAGTGCGTAAATGTAGTAATTGATCAAGCCAGAGCCACTTTAAAATTCGACTGCCATTGATATATATGTGCTGAGTAATTTACTTTCGACATTCGATTGACTAAAACTAAAATTTTATGCCGAATATTGCAGTAGAGCCATGACTCACTAACGGCTGCCATTTACTGCTACGACTTAGTGTTGTTCGTCGAAAGAATGCAAAATGGTCAAAAGGCCAACCTATCAAGTATATATCAAGTAGACCTTCGAACAGGCTTATACCTAAGTAAATCCGATCATTTTGAAATTGAAAAATTAAATAAAATTACATCCAATACGACCCACGGTCATCACGCAGTGAAATTGTAATCGTTGGACTGTAAAATTAACAGCTTGAGGTCACGTAAATTCAAGCGGTTGCCCAAAATGGTCCATTAAGCTGAATGCTTGATAAGAGCACACTTGTCTCTAGGGATATTATATCTTGGCTCAGCCGATACTATCTAATGGAATTATCAACTTGTTGAGACGACCGCCTTCGACTTGTTTAATGAAGAGATTGAATGCTTACGTCAGTGTACCATTTCTTTGATCTGTTACTGGTTTAACCAAGCGAAAGCTAACTTTCTACATGTGGAATTGGATCAGTACAGCAGACATTTACGTAAATTCCCGGCAAGTGAACCTACAGAGAAAATATCTCAATAAGGTGACGTTCATGCGGAAAGACTCTTATTACGAACCAGTTTAATGAAATTATTATCTTTCCAACTAATTGTATCTTCGCTGCTATCTTAAGATTTGTAAAGCACATAATAGACAAGATCAACAGCGGAATGTGATAAGCAACATAACATCTTTCTTTTCTTTTGTTTTTCTTTTTAGAAATCTGCTCGGAAGACTTACTCTATATACAACAGTTTTCGTACCTTGTCTGCTGTCTTCTTATTGCGTATTTCTGATTGATACGAAAGCAGGGCAAATAGCAGCCGACGTCTTTTATCAATGTGTATGTTAAGCAGAAAATACCATCTATATTATTATTATTATATTCTCGACTTGTTTATCGAAGACTTTAGTTCAAGTTGACCTACGACGTCTTATACAGTTCCTTTAGGTTTTTGTTGCATGAATATGCGGACATCAGTCGAGCTAAATAAGCTCAACGTCGTATAATTTCGCTTTAAATTATTTAAAGGCATTTTAATCTCCAAATGGGAGTAGGTAAATTTCTTGACATCGTTTAAGCGCGTTAAACACATCTTAGCCAGCCCGAACATGTTGTGAAGTCTGTGCCATGTAATGTTTTAAACGATATTAAAATAAGTGCAAGCTTCGATTGTGTTATCATGAACAACCTGCGCAAAATAGCAGGCTAGGTTAGGAATTATGGGATTTAGCAGAAAACTGAGTAGAGTAGACCTCAGCCTGCTATGATGGGATGCGGTAGGAAGTAATCTAAATGATAAAGGAAAGACTAGACTATGAGGAGGTTGGACAATCAAAAGCTGTGAACGCAGCCACTGTAATGAAACAGAGAGCAGTGAAAAAGGGATCTTTGCTTTTTCTTACTTTTTATTGCGAGTTATGGTCGCTGTACAGATAAGTAATGTGACGGTAAGGAATGATTACAGATACAGAAGGGAGGAAAAAGGATCAGTTCCAATGCTCGTCCGATTTGATAGGTGGAAATATCTGGAATGGGCTAATTTGGCGAGTTTGCGCTAAAGGCGAATGCATTTAAAAAACGAAAGGGACAGGGCTTGGGATAACTTATTGTGTCATATAGGAGCAAGTCGTAGGCGGCTGACTAAGAGCGCTGAGAAAGTCGAGTAATCTTATTAATGGGCCTAATTAATGGACATATCGCTTTTATTTTCGGAGAACATCTGCAGTAGAGGTATATATGTGTAACTACAGAATTTGTGGCAAGGGTTTAACGTGGGTTCCTGCCTGTAAGGCTTAACCCCACGGTGGCCCAAACCACTTTTTAAGCGTACTACGCCCCCTGGCGAGTTAGACAATCCCCACAGAGTAGGGGCCTAAACAGCACCAGAGTCCAGATCAGTTTATTGTGTATGGAACAATAAACCCCACTCTGGTGAGTGGCGAGGGCCTAGCTGCACTCGATTGTTCCACTTTGGCTTGGAACTGCCAACCACAACCACCACGAGTACTCCCCGAAGGGCCGCACCCAGTAGTCAGGACTCACCAATTGATCAACTGACTGCTTCCGCCATAAGGCTTCCACTGTGCTTGTTGATCAATTACCACCTTTACCCGCAGGCATTCATGACATGTGTTCAAAAGTAAAAATAGGTAAAAGGGGAGAACTTATTCGTCATACCCCTTTTCCATTCTTGCATGTATTAATTAATTTACCAGACATTTTCTTTCATTCGGCCAAAGGGAAAGCCGTCCATCAATTCCTTTTTGCATGTATTAATTCATTTACCAGACATTTTCTTTTATTCGGCCAGAGGGAAAGCCGTCCGTCAATTCCTTTTGCATAAATAGTGTAATTAATTTATTTATTTGTTACGACTTAAGAACAAGTCCATCATATACCCGCAGGCATACGTGGCTTAGTGAGCGAGCTTCCTGACCCCCGTGGCTCCCAGTTTATTTTGCAAAGCCTTATGGCACACTTTGGGCGTTTGTTAAAAACAACCGTACTTGCTTCGGATCCTCCATACTTTCCTGGTAGCTAACACCAATGAACTACTTTTCTTCAAGATATATAGGTTTCGGGTATTGCACTGAACATGGTAGACTAGTCTAAAGCACTCTACCATGCACTCGCTAGATTACTACCTTCATTGTACTTAAACCCATTCAGTGTATTTCCTTGGTAGTAACTAGCTATTGAGTAAGAGCTCTTCTTCCAGCCAACCCCTCCACCATCTATCAGAAACTCGTCGCCGAGTTAGCAGCCCAAAACCTTAAACTCTTCTTAGCCGGCCGAAGCCGTTGCCCGGGGATCACCGCTGGGAGGTGAGAGTTTCGGCACATCTATACTTCTTATCAAAGCATAGTTCATCTCCCCATGTGTAACTACAGTATGTCCTCCGTCGCGAAGATGCTAAATAGTCTTGAAGATGTCTTACCATCCTTTAACGTTCGGGCACTTTACTGTATGCTGTCGCCAGTCGTGAAGCAAAACCTTAGACGTCACATCCACATGATCGGTAGAGGATTTTATAAAAAAGGAATACGTTAGATTGATTGAAGGGTAGATAAACTAGCTCAAGCGGAGGAGATATGCCTTTTGGGTAGGCGCGATCGTGAAATCTTTATTCGGGGATCGTTTTTGATAATTAAAAGTGATTTTTTTACTTAGAAGTTAAGACCTTAGATCTCTAGCTTAGATATAAAGCCTTTAGATCAAATCTCTAGCCTTCAAATTTATACTTATTTAAACAGTTTATAGAAACACTTCTGAGACGCAAAAATGTGATAAGTAGAACAGTTTCCGGATCTAAACTTATACAGACGATAATATTTGTGATGTGTAGTGGTTTGATTTTACATGGAAAACGCGAATACAATTTGAAAGAAGTTTGGATAGCTACGCCAAACAGGTTAACTGTACGCAATGGAGAGGAGAAATCCAAAATCCACTGTCATCTACATAAGGACATGAGTTGTCGCAATCATTTGTGGATTGGTATTCGTAACTATTTTTTGACGGGCTTGGCTTTGGATTTCGCAGCGATCTTTAAAGGGGCAGCGACTCAACCGACTTCACGAGATCTGTGGAGCAAAATAAAACATTTTCAATTGTTTTCAGCTCCGTTAGCTTGTCTGTATATTGCTCTATACCGGGTAAATAACTTTAATCATAAAAACTATTTATCCCATTATCTATGTCATTCCATCTTTACCGCGTTTCATATCAAAGCAAAGGTAGTTACTAGAAAGAGATTCCTTTTTTAGAATATATTTTATTGCAATGTGATCTACAATGTGATTGTGTATTCTTGAAATGATGGAAGACGAAAACTGAGATGAAAAAATAAAATTCGAATTCTCGCACCACTTGAAAACTGACCATGCATATCAAGATTCTACCCCAAAATAGATGACAAACTATGAAAAGCCAGTAAAAAGAGTTGCATCTGTAGCGGAAGTATAGGATAATTCCGAACTTTCAGCAGTAAGATAGTACAACATCAATATTACACATTTCCGAATCTTCCAAATATTACTTTCATTCTCATCCTTCATTCTTTCATTCGTTAATCAACTAACTAATCATAAAGAGAAAACTTACTAATGCTAAGGACAATATGTTCAACTTCAGCTTCAACACAATGGTTGCAGTTTTAAAATTTTTATTGAACACTTTTTTGAATACAAACATATATTTAGTTTTTCTTTTGCTTACAGTCAATCCATTGCTTTTTGAATCATTTCAATAATTTTTCGGATCAAATTAATCATGCTTTAGCTTCATGTTGCGCTGGCCTATGTTATTTTCTCTATCCGCAGCGGACCCTATTTTATTTTGCGGTGTTACAAGCTGTTCAAACGTTGTGGCAACTCTTTAAAATTGCAAATTCAAAAACTACAAATAAATGCTTCAAATTTTTCCTAAATTTTCCCTATCGATTAATTGCGTATCCTTTAACTCAGGCATACATGGCGCATGTGTATGTTATGAAACCACAGCTTTGCAGCCGCTTTACTGTTAAAATTTTAGACAATGCTACGAATGATCAGTAAGTATAAATATCTTATTTGATGTCAGAGCAAAAGAATTTTAATAATATAAGAACATATAAAGAATTTCGCATAACTACCACTATTAAAATCTTCATCACCTTCCACACTCCCACTCATTTCATTTGCTACTGGTGTCGAAGTTATTTCTAAGAAAACATTTATCCACTAACGTGACGGCTACCACAATTGATTTAGGATTAACACACTTAGCTTGTCGCATTCCACTCTCCGAGTCCTTTCTATGATATCCATGTCGTTAGTATTATTAAGAAAAAATTAATCCACCAGTTCGCGCTATTGAGGAATGTAGTGAGAAAAAGAAAATTTAATCACTTGCAACTTTGCACGTCAAGAGTAGAGTGTTTCGTAAAGTATTATTATTATTATTATTATTATTATAAATTCAGCCAGAGAATAAATTTTAAAGCTAAATTCTTAAAGCACTAGCATCTAAGGCTTTCGGCTTTATTAAAAACTCTACCGCACTTGAAATTTGAACCCACGACCATTGAGTTGCTAGTCGAGACTCTTGCCTACTCGGTCACTCAGGCGGGTTTTCATAAAGTAATGATTATTTTTGTTCAGAAAAACGTTCAAATTACGCTCCACTAAAGTCTTCTGTTCTAACCAAATTTGCTCATTGTCAATACCAACCTGCGTGCAAAAACTTCCAATGTTTTTACCAAATTTGAAGTCGATATCTTCACTTTTCCGCTCAACAGATTGCCATTAGCACATATCACACAGACGAACAGACATGGCTTAATAAATTCAGAAGTTCATGCTAATCAAGACTATACCGTATACCTTATAAGGTCTCTGAAGCTTCCTTTTGATTGTTACATACATTATTAAAAAAAAAGCAACATGACAAATACCTCCATCCTAAAGTGGTGGGTATACGAAAATTATTGAAAAATATTAATGAAACACAAGACAAAAAGAAGTTTACTTTATTTCTTTTTTTTTTTAGTCGAGCGCTATGGTCGTAGGTTCAAATGTCAGGAGCGATAGAGTTTTCAATAAAACTGATAGCCTTAGACGCTCAATTATTCGTAACAATAATAATAAAGTAAATAAATTTGCTTTCAATTCGGAGCAAGTTAGTTAATGATTTGGGGTTTTAAGTCAGATAACAAGAAGATCTGATTTTCGTCTCTTTGACGACTAAGGCAGTTGAAGAATTGCAACAGATGACATAGCGCGGTATATCTAACGGTCGGCCTCGCTGCTCTATAAGGTGATATTGAATTTTTTGAAGCTTCTTTCTTAACATACACCCGGTTGAGTTTCTCTTACCTTAATATTTTTGACCATGTCTCTGCTTAACAATGTTTCCAACTTTTTTAAAGTTTTCCTATAATAACCTATAATATCTTAACAGATATGGTTTTGAGAGGACAAAGTAATTTTACACACAGCACGTAAAAAAGAACGGACTGCATCGAGTTTGAAAAGGAACATCATTAATCAAAAATCCCATATCATCTAATCAAGATTTTACACGATTATAAATTGTAAAAGGATACGAATCTAAAATTATATGAATTTTTTCTCATTGTAGAGCCACTGCTGTTATGAACTATGTTCAAAAATCTATACACCTTGCTAAGAACAATCTGCTGTGATACAAAAGCGATCATAAATTATAATAATATTTTTGTACGCAATAATTAGTCGCTATACTTTAAGTAAAATTTTACAAATTATTAAAAATTATGCATAAAAGAGACAGAGATGGCCTCTCTTTCTCTCTATCCCTGCTTTGTTAAAATAAAATATACACATATATTTTTATATACCTTCACCATCGCTTGACTACCACATGTCCGCATGAATAGCGGAATAGGTAAGAATCGCAACTGAATGGGGTCCCGCTATAGTGAGCGCTTATTCGCTAAGGGCGTAATATTTACCGATTAGGCGCACATGAACTTGGCTGCAGTAGTTTCCCTGTTTCTTTCTCTTGCCTCACTTCTGTCTGGCCGTCAGCGTATTACGCCAAAGAAAGGACCACATTAAACTTATACGAGAAACATTAAATATTTTACACAGTCCAGTCCGATACATTCCAGATCAACAAACATACAACTTTTTTGTTCATAGTTGATTCGATTATTAGCCATCTTAATTGTGGATGAAAACCAACACAATTTTTGACTGTACTTTGACCAAAAGTAAGTTCTAAATAAGTAGCATTGTGACAGACATTGGGATGTAACGAGACTTGGGTAAACGCATGAGAGATGAACTGTTCACCGCCCAAAGCCATAAAGTTACTTGTTTTATTTAAAATAACTTTCTCTAATCTTAATCAAGTTAAATAAGGCCACATGACAACAATTCTTGTGGCCTTTGGATAATAAGTACAGTAAAAGCTCCTTATTCGCGGGGTATACGTTCCATAAAAATGCCGCGAATACAGAAACCGTGAATACGGAATGGTAATTTATATGGGATTATAGGGGATACGTTCCTAGGTGACAAAATAAAAAAAAAATCATATATATAAAATAATCAATTTAATTGAAGTTTTTAAACATTTTAAATAATTATCTTATGGCTTAGGCAATGGTTTGAAGAATTTTGTAAGTTTCTCTTCTTTGGCCGTTTTTAAAAGCTCCTTTAAATCAGACTGATACGCAGCAGTCGCATTAGCAATTTGCCTCTTAAAAATGAGACTTCGTTTCATAGACGGATCAAGGTTCATAAAGAAATCGCCAAGCTCATTTGCCATTTTTAAATCTTCACTACGATTTTTCAAATTAAATGTCACGTTCCCAGTGCTTGTTGAACCCTCTTCTTCAATGTGCTATGAATTTAACAGTTCCTCCAAGTCGGTTTCAGTCAAATTTTCATCTTGCGACTCAAGCAATTCCTGTATGTCACTTGATTCTGTCTGTTTGAACCCATCTCGATCTATTCCATTCGCGATTTCTGCTATGTTTGCAGTCAAAGTTTGAATTTGCACAGATTCTTCGTCATTTTCTGCAGTCGGAGCACACCACAGTTCTTTCCAGCAACACTTCAATGCGTGTGGCTTCAGTTCTTCCAATGATTGTTTTATGTTTACGACGCATTTTGCTACGTCAAATTTCTTCCTGCATTCCATAAGGCTTATGCATGTTTGCGATGGCTTAGGCGTTCATTTGCAATTTGGTCCTGTACCGGTTGTAAGTGTGCTCCTATGCTGATAGTGTACATGCTTTTTTTTTCTTTTTTCTTTTTCTTTTTTTTTCTTCTTATTTGTTTTATTATGCTTACACTCAATTTTATTGTTAATTAATATTAGTTTTGCATTAAGAGCCTATTGAACTCGACTGTTATTTGTTTAGTTGAGTTTCTAGTATAAGTGGAATAAAATAAAATAAAATAAAATAACATTCATATCAGGATTGCATTCCATATTAACCCTTATGATTTTGAAGGTTCGTCTAATGTAATAGAGCTTAAAGGCCTGAATTATTCCTTGGCCCATAGGTTGAAGCAAAACCGTCGTGTTGGGACGTAAAAACGTCACTTTTATATATTGTAGTCGCGAATATAGGAATTAGGTCGCATTTTTTTAATCCGCGAATAGTGAAACCGCAAATAAAGGAAGCGCGAATAAGGAGCTTTTACTGCATTATATTTTATAAGAGAAAAAGGGAGGGGGGCAGATATATATTAAAAAAGTATCAATATATATTGAATACAGTTGGCAAAAATTTGGTATTACATTATATTTTCCTTCTCCTTAATCGCTTAGGCTACTGCATAAAAGAGTTGAAAGACTGGATATGTGAAGCAGTGAGCAGTTTATTGTCTATTCTGCCAACTAACTAATCTATTTTCTATTTCTATTCCATCTATAGCATACCAACAAAGGTATTAATCGGTTTTGTCTGCTTTACAAAAACAGCAATTCCTCACCCTATTCACGGTTTGAATTTGACCTTTGACCGTAATTTAAAGAACAAATCTTCCATTTATTTAATTCATAAAATTTAATTCAATTTCCGTTAAGCTCTGCTATCGAATTACAAAAGCTTACCTCATATTTAAAATCTATTGAAGCATTTTAAGTGATATTATTGTAATCATTAGCGCAATTTTGACGCAATGTTTACGTATATCCCCATATCGCATTATGGTTAAAATCTTGAAATTGCCACAACCCGTTTATAAATGATCTTATAAATTAAACGATTTTAAAAAGGAAGTAACGATCGTTTTCCATTTCTCTTGCAATCAAAGATCGTTCGCAAAATTCGAAGCAAACCTCCGGTTTGTTACATAAATATTTTTCGGTGATTTATTCACTTATATAAATTTCATAAATTTCAATTAAATGCATATTCATAACTCGCATATTCAACTTCGTTTCCCTTCCCTAGGAATTTTCTTTCGATTATTAAGTATTTTACCAATTTAGATCAATAAATGCTTTTTAAGTGAAAAAATAATGAAAATACTTGCAAGCACCTATTATACGCTTTTAATGTAAGAAAGATGTATTCGCATTAGAACGAATCATTGACTGCTATCCGAGTCTATTGCTAATGTTACTGTCCAATCGCGTGCCTGTCTTAATGGAACTATACTCAATTACGTATGGAATCTTTGTGTTGAATATTGTCACGAAATTTGTGCGACTCTTTTCAAAACTCGCACTTTTCACCTTTAAAATAAACTTTTTATGCCAACTGTTTTTTGGAGTTATTTCCATAGCTTTGGAACAATTTACGAACTATTTGGCTTTATTAGGAAATTTTTAGAACTAGGTAGTTAATTGTGACTGTAGTTTTAGAATATACGTTCCATATGAAGAGTTTTTATTTAAATAAGTAAAAATATTATACTCGGGCGATTCCCACTATTAAATAAGTCACACGACATAGGTGATTCTTCGTGTAATTTCGTCATAAAATATCACAAATTATATCTTGTTTCCATGTAAATGGATATTTGTCGTGAAAGGTCTAATATGAGAGTGGATCCAAGACGTGAACTCATATGAGAAAGGCTATCAACTGCATTGCTTTCAGCAAAGAATGCATCCGTGGTCGTTTGGCCACCCTTTATTTGAAAATTGAAGATGTCGGAACAGGCATTCTTTGATTATATTCTTAAAACCGGACAAGAAAATTAAATAACAAACGTTATTGAAAACGTTATTGAAATTGTCGCAAGGAACTCGAAAGGAGTTAAAAAATCCATAATTGCGTCTACATTAGTTAAGTTTAATTAAATGGAATTGGCGAGTTACGGGGCAGGATACATTAAAGTCAATCTATGCCTTTCTAGCGAGAGTAAGATAATTAGCTTGAGTCTATATTCATAAAATGGCAAGGAGCGCTTCCCAGATTGCGTGGCGCAAATACAAAAGCTATTTTTGGGCTAACTCAATTAAGACAATATAGCATTGATAACTAGATCAAGCCGAGCATTTGACGCATACTCAAGAACGGGCCTGACCAGACTCATGAATAATCTTTTTGTTACATAGGAGTCATCAAATTCCTTCGACCACTGTTTCCTAAAGCCCAGAAAATTTTTCATTTTATTAAGTGTTTGAAGCGAAGCTTGTTATGAAAAAAAACAACAAATTCAAAAAGTGACGAGCCTTCTAACGTTATTAATATGGCGAACCCTGAGAAGAGGAGATCTTCTAAAAAACGTCAATATTTTGCATTTACTCAAGCTTACAAGTTGCATGGCGTCATAAGACCATGCAATTTATATCAGCCTGGAGCACCTGAGGAATACATCTGAGAAGTCAAAAGATAGAACCAATCTAACATTATCTGGATACATCAGAATTTTGGTGTATTTACTAACCACGGGGAAATTGTTAAGATATAAATATGGCCTAAACGGCTACCTTGAAGGACCCCCAAGAAGACCATGTTTTCATTCGAGAGATTGAATTTAAAGAGAAGTTTTTATTTTCCATTTTCCAAATAAGATGCTATGTACTTACTCAGTTATGGCGTAAATTCGACAAAATCAAGTTCCCGAAGTAATAATTTATTTTATTAAAGGCCTTATTGAAATCAGTATAAATTATGTCAGGCTGACCACTGTGAAGTTGTTTTTTATTATCAGGCCAACCTTTTTTTGTATAATCTTGGTATATTTTACTAATCGAACATAAAGAGTTTACCAGTTATAAATACAGCTGTGCTTAGCTAATCGAGTGAATATTTTCGATATTACGCTGTTTAGGTTTCGACTTGCGTTTGAATTCTCCATACTTTCTGAAGTGCCGTTTGCGGGTCAAAGACGAGAGATGCACAACTCCACGAGAGGTGTTGTATGAAGTCATTCAATTCTTACCAGACCAAAATTCAGCACGGACTCAAAACCTTCTGCACAGAGGCTAACCGAACTGAACAAAAATCGAAAAGTTGATGTCTGTCTAAACTTGTTAAATCGTTTTGAAAAGTGCAACTATCTTCAACAAGTTATTACGGTTGATGAAAAATGGATTCTATACAAACACTATTAAGTGACTAGAATACCTTTTCCATTCACCGCATTCTTTATTCTTTTTTAATCGAATACCCTAAACAATCAAGAAATATTTCAATTTATTCTTGGATTATTTACTGGTCTGCTGAGTAAATAGAAAATATTTATTTACAGTTTTAGTTGTTTCTGGTGTATGTTTAAATAGCATATTTTATTGAAATTTATTTTAATTATTTTAAAAAGTTTCCCCTACCCTGCGCTTAGATACGCACCTAAATGGCTTTTATATGAAACACTTTTATTTACCCTCTTTTTTTAAATGAAAACCAATCGGCCCGCGTAATTGTGCATACCATCGACTGCTATTTACCCGTGCATTCATTAAATTTTATTATATAAAATCAGTTACATTTTATATTTAGATAACGATATTACGCTCATTAATTTATACATACATACATAATGTAATTAAAAATTATATACACATGCAAATTTTACACCTAATCATGTTGAACATGGCTGCAAATTTAAATATTTAAAAACAATAGAAACAAAAAAGGGGGAGAAGAAGTGTGATTAGGCGCCAGCTCGCCAAGTATAACTATACATTTCGTGATGATACACTAATCCTTGTGCCTTATTTTCATGGAAAGGCGTACTTTTCACGACAACCCTTTTACGGATTAGAGTCTAATATATTAATGTAAATGGCCCAAAATATACAAAAAGTTAAACTTATTTGTATCAAGAATTACGGCGCAATAATTTGACGGTAACATCCGACATGAGGCACAATAAAACATATTTCCACAAAATCCATTAAACGGCCCGGAGTGGAAATTAATATTTGGCATGTACCCTTGACCATATTTTCACTTTGATATTTGGACGAAGTACCCCCGCAAACGATACGTATATTTAAATACGAACGTAAGGCAAATTTACGTGGCTCATTGAATATATGGATAGCAAATTCGCGTGTAGGCGACACAACCAAAGCGTGTGGCGTACCAATCGATGCTTCAGCATTATCATTCAGCAACAGATTGATAATGGGTATAAGAAAGGCCGCGGTTTCGCCGGTTCCAGTCTGCGCACAAGCCATCAGAACCCACCCACTTCCTACTACTGGTATAGAAGTCGGAATGAATGGGTGTAGGTACTTTATAACCGGACCGTTTTATATTTTTTAAAACAATATCTCGAAGGCCAGCATATAAAAAAAATAAATAAAATCTGTTTGTTTTTATTTTAATTCAATTTTATTCCACTACATGCAGTATATTAGTGCAGTAAAAAAAAGGTTGTTCCACATAAACTACATGGCGTCACATTTCGTGTTTTAAAATTACTCTTGATATAATTTGCACTACATTTCAGTAACGTGGGCTGTATAATTGGATTTTATAATTAACAATTCAGAAACTGCACAACAAACTTTCTGCTTAAAGATTTCAATTTGCCAGAATTCGAAGTTCGTTGATAGTCATCCGCGCGCAAATCAGCCCACGGCCCTAAAACTTTATATTTTTTTATCTAATATTATACCATCCAATTGTTGTGCGTACTATGTGGGCTTTTAATCTAGTTTTAAAATCGACCAAACAGTAATGCTTTTTTCAAAATGTATGGTCGATTTCTTATGTTATTTTGTAGGCTTTTAACGTACGTTTGTTAAACTAATCAATTTACGTCGCATAGATTAAGCATAAAAGGATTTTTTGCCTTTTTTTCTGTTTTAATACTTTAAATATTTATTTAAAATATAATAACGGTATAATACATAAATATTTTTAATTTAATAATAAAAACTCTTACTAAAGTCTTATTAGAAGAAAAATTAGGAAATTAAATTTCTTAATTGCCAAGGAACAATGTTTATTTATAAACTAAATTAATAGTCACCGTAACCTTTAGATGTCATTTGCCATTAATTTATAAAAAAAATCGAAAATTGGGGATATTTTCGTATTACCCGTACGTGCACTTAAAATACAAAAATTGTTCGAAAAGTAGATGATGGAAAAGCCGGCAGTTATAACTCTACCACCGGACTGTATGTTCATAGTCCATCCTACTGATGGGGAGGTACTCGTTTTCGGATCTGAAGCCGCTAGACCATTGCATTTTCTAAAAAGCTCCATAATGTCCACTGACGCCCTCGTTCTTTTCCTAGCGCCGACCGTTAAGTTTATGGACACCTTCTTCAATGCGTCCTGGCTTACCCTGTATAGCTTTATAGTTACGTCAGAATAAGCCGACACTAGCTCGTCCATTAAGTGAATGAAATTTGTTATCCATTGTTATATAATGTGAATCCATTTGTTATTTAATGTGGATCAATCAACGAAGGAGGTAAAATTTTTTCGCACTAAAAACATTTTTTCATTACAATTTTTTATAGTGTATTGAAAATTATATTCGAAAGCCTTGTAGATAGATCTTCGAAAATTTTGTATTGTATTTTGTATGAATGCTTTGAGATCCTCTTGAAAAAGAACATGAAAGTTTATCCATATAGAATGTTTATTTATTGAAACTTTTTATAAATTATTACAAAAGTTCGCAGTCTTTTGTTTTAGTATGGAAAGAAAACGAAAAAAACCAGCTAAGGGTTTCCTGTACAAGCACATTGGTGAAGAAGCAACAAGATGGTATTGCGGAATTCCCTTTCAAGGACGCTATTGAATTATTTACGAAAGAACAAATTTAACCTTTAATGTCCAATTATATTTGTTATCATTTTTCTCCTTTTTTTTCTTCGTTTTTATCTTTGTTGGTTTGGTTACATATATTTGTTAAATTATTTTCTTTTAAATTAGGTTTAATATTTTTTTTATATTGTACAAGATTAGGAATATATAGAGCAATGTTAGCATGGTCTTCTAATTCTAATTATGCTTTGTTGTTAGGGGGGTTTCGCAAACTATTTCGTATGAAGTAAGATTAGCTTTAATTTTGTTAAGATTTATTTTTTTAATTGGAGATTATAATATTTTAAACAATTAAAGGAAGGTAGTCCATTCGGGTCATTTTGATATAATTTTTTTGTGCTTGACTTAAACTCTAAAGGGATTAAAATTTAATTATCTTCATTTAACAAACAAATAAGAAAAATATTCATTGCTCCATGCTTCTATGAGTTCAGTACCAGTGTGTACCTAGAGAGAGTTAGAGTTAGAGAGTTTAGCTATAAACTGCGCGGCGTGGCGTGTCGGTTGTTGCGGTTGACCATCTGAGCGTAAGCGTGTAAAAATTCCGTCCATCTGAGAGTAAGCGTATATGTTTGTTTACAATTCTCAATAATTGAAAATGTATTTGGCTAAAAATTGCGTCCACCTTTGCGTAAGCGCATATATTTGTTTACAATTCTCAATAATTGAAAATGTGTTTACCTAAAAATTGCAACCATCCGCGTTCATCATTTCACTTCTACAACAGTGTCCACGTGGACATTCAAGCTATTGAAGTCCGATAAGATAAGATATTGCGCAGAAAGATTCTTCTCGGGCTACCCAACCCTAGTGATGTTCAATAGTTCGGAGATTAATATTCGCATCGTACTGAGAATTATGATATTTTCTCTATATAAGATTTTTGTCCTCTGAAGAGTTTAAAGATCTTTGTGGGTTAAAATATTCTTGCCTCTCAGGTCGGGAAGGGTTTCCTTTGTGTATTCTTATCAATTCTACGAATAGCATAGTTACACCAATTACGTATGTATTTAATTTACCTTTAAATAATGGGATTTTTTTGGTATATTGTATTTTACGGTTACAACTCTGGCAATAGGCAATCTATTGAGAACTATAGACGTATTGCAAAACTTTTTATACGACACTTTTTAAAAGACTTGTAACACAGATTAGAAATAACACTAGTGGCCTCCACTCCACCCCAATTTTGTGAAGGGCAACTCCACTGTTAATAATCTCTAGAACTCGCTTGTTATATATTTGAATCATTTAAAAAGACAGATGTTATTTATACGAAGCTTAGTACGGCATTTATGTGGTTTAGGATGGGTTACTAAACAAATCCTTATCTCCGTACGAACATCGGTTACTTATGATGGGTTACTAGTCTTGAATTTGGAAGATTGACTCTTGGAATAGGCTCCTTAATGAAACCTACTTAAAAAGATATTTCATCGGTATTCTTGCTCAGTAAACTTGACTCTAACATTCCGGCAAAGCTCTTAATGAATTTTCCTCCTCTGACGTTGTTCCAATATAGGACTAATTACCAATTTTTTTTCCCCTTTTCCCTTTCCGCATATTATGTAGACAATGTAATAATGTTTACTTTCAGGCTATCGGTTCTAATATAAATAAATGTACATTAGATAATGAGCTTAGTAGTATTAATGAAGTAATATATAGAATTGATATTCGATTCTGAAGCTGATTTTAGAATGTCCAAAGGGTTAATAGTTCCAAATGCAATACTTTTAGCCAAGGAAAAGTTAAGGCAGTCGCAGAGAAAGTGCTTTATAGTGAGAATTTGTCCACAACTGCAGATTGGGAAGGAAGACTTCTTCGAGATCCATTGGTGAATTGCAATTGTATGACCAAGGCGAATTCTCGAAAAAGTTTGATCTTGCTTTTCTCAACATTTGTTGAATATAAAGGTGGAGTTATTTGAGGGCTAATGGAAGAGTAGTGCTGATGATGGTATTGTAAATTTCCTTCTGCTG